CGGGATAACAGGTAGTCATGTCTGTTTGTTTGTGGCATGGGCTTCTGTAGTTAGTACAGGAGGTTGCTACTTAATGAATTAAAAAACAAAGTGGTTTCAGCATCAGCTTATGATGGAGATGTCAGAACAGGAACATACAGGACAAAAGTAATCTGTAAACAAATAGAAATGTGCCATAATCCTTAACATGTTGCAGAACACAGGTGCAGGTTTTGAAAATACACTTTCCCATCCTTCACTTTACTTGGCAAGAAATGCAAATATTTGAGAAAATAATATTGAATGTTTACAATTCTTCACCTGACAAATGGAAAATTTCAAAAACTTGTAGAAGAGTGTGAATAAATGAGAAATGGTCTCAAAAGCATATCTGTGCTTTTAACTGGTTAGGTATTATTGACAAGGAACTTAAATATTTGAGGCTTTCTTATACAGCTCTTTCAGTTACCAGAATATTTGAGACTTGTCCTGATTCCTTCCAATAAAAATTAATTTTCCTTTTCTTTAAACCACTGTAAACAAAAGTTGTTCTTATGATCCTTACCATAATATGATTCATGTTCCAACAATTTAGTGCTTGACTTATCTCCACTACTGAGTTGTAAGCAGCTTGATGACGGGGGCCCAAGTCTTACCTTTGTGTTTCTTATAGACTTAACCTTCAGGATTTTAGACTTAATGCATAATGATTGTTAGTAAAATTGAATTTAAAGAACAACTGCTATAGAAATAGAAATGGGAACAAAACTAGTGTTATCTGGGAAGTGATATATTTGTCACAGGCTATTGGTATCTCAGGCACTGAGGACACAGGTGCTGATCCTCAATAGTTACCAATGTCATTCAGTAATCATAGCATCCTAGCATCTCTACTTTAGGGTCTGGAGATTGATCATACTAGAGGTAGATGTCACTTTGGATTGTTTTCCCTCCTCTTACTGAGGCCTTGAATATGCTGACATGAGGCTCCCTGATTCACTTTTGCTTTCTTCTGTTTAATCTAGTATGAAGGACTCTGCTGGTGTGGAATCCATTAGTAAATAAATCAATGGCTTGTAATTCAGTTGCCTATCTAAACATGACCTCAAGAATAGGGCTAGTCGAAAAATTTTAAGGAAGTTCCATTACCTCGTTAGATGGACTGAAAACTTTTTAGGCCAGTCCCTCAATTATTATTCTGTTGAAAAGTGACTTCAGACTTCGTTGATGAGTATTTCACAGGGTTTTAATTTGATGGTTAAAAACCATTCAAAAAGACAGTGATTATATGTTTTAATAGATGAAAAAGGCCAGGGATCTTTTTAAAAGCTGAAATAATTTAGGTTACTATGCAACATTTCATTGCCATTGCTACAGACTATAATCACACTGTAATAATGATTCTCTTTATAAAAAATCTATTTAAAATGCTTTGGAACATTGGAATTGCAAAAGAAAAAAAAAACCATATAGAATGGCAAAGATAATGTTACTATACATTTAAGTAGAGCTCTACAGTTCACAAACCACTGAAAAACAATGCTAAATAAACTTTTCCAACAGTAAAGCACTATGTCCCCTACTGGGGCAGTCCCTTGAGGTTTGTAAAGAAGCTGCTAGGGGAACCAGGAGACCAGACTAACTGTTTAAAACAGAAGATAATCACAAAAAAATCAAAGGAGTTTGTTAGAGGAAGCTTCGAGGTCACTGCTACTCCCGATCACTGTAAAGTCAAACCTCGGGACTTAAAAGCAGATCTACAAGTTGGTTTCAAAGGATCAGATAAAGGAAGGAAACTATGGGATAACTCTGTGGGTGAGAAATCAATGTAGAGGAAACCTAACCAAGCGTATTTCCTTCTCCCACACCAACACTCCAAGCATCTCTTAGTTTTATAATTATATCAAGCCCCACGGATCTAAAATTGTTTCTGATGATATTACTCATTTTTTATCACCAGCATCATTAGTAATTAAAAAAAAAGTGGTATACATAAGCTGTCAGGATTCTTAAAATGCATACTCTCAGGCCTTAAATACTAAACATCATCATGCAGCAAGCTTGGGTTTGGATCTAGAATCTACATTTCTAACACAAAAATTCCCAATAATTCTAATGGTGGTGGTCTTAGCATCACATTGTGAGAAATACAGATAGTACCTAATTACTACGTTCTAGGGTACCACAGACACTCATGAAATGCTTTATTTAGGAAAGAAATGTTATCTGTTTCAATACCTCATGGTTTGGTTGGGGTTCACCTCAAGGAAAGACAATAAGTATCCACTGAGCACAGGTAACTGGACTGAAGGTTTTAGGCTGTTCATTGTTTCATACAAAACTTTTTAATTGAGTATCTAATGTTGGTAGGATCTAAGCACATATATTAAAAATGCAACAATTAAATGAATCAAATATTTCTTTTATATTTGCTTCCTTTACTTTTATGTTTAGTTAATCCATTCCTTTTTTAGTACCGAAAAGTCTCACATGCTCTTCTAGTTTTGCTTTTCTTAAAACTTGATTTTTTAAATTATATTTAATTTATTACACTACAGGAATTTATTTTGTGTGGTGTGACACAGTTCTCTAATATTGACATTTTTGCAATAATCACCTGTCTCAGTCACATTTTTTTGAATATTTCATATTTGCCACACTGATTTGATTATGGACTTTCTAATACAGTCTTCCTTTTTAAGAGAGGTAAAAGTTTTATGATGGCAGAGAATTCTTTATTATTATTATTATTATACTTTAAGTTCTGGGATACTTTTAAAAACAGTAGACTTTTATTCTGTTCCACTGATTTTCTATTCTTAAATACATTTTGTGCTGTTTTATTTTTAAGCTTTATAACATGTTTCATTACTTGGTATTCTAAGTCTCCAATTATTATTATTTTTTCATTTTCAAAATTTCTTTACTATTCTTATCTGTTTTCTCCTAATTAAATTTGCAAAGATTTTAATAAGTTCTAAAATAACCTTTAGGCATTTTATTTAGAATTGCATTTTGTATTGGATAATCTAAGAAAAATTTAAATGTCCTTTATAATTATGCATCTGCACTCTTAGGAATATGTTATGTCTATCCAGAAGCTTGTTCAAGTCATCTTCAATCAGGTGTTAACGGTGTTCTTTGTATAGATCCTACTAATTTATTGTTAAATTTCTCTATATATATTTATATTTAGTGTACATAGATATTTTTACTCAAACTACTTATCTCATATATTAATAGAAAAGCAAATCATTAGTATTTATATCCATTTATAATCTATTTTTTGAAATCTGAATTTTAAAAATACTTTTTCAGTTGAGTCTGGTGGGCTTCTTAAATATGTTATCAAATAATGATAATTTTGTCTTTACTGGATGATTATTTTTTCCTAATAGATTCAAATCATATATTTGTTTCCATTTTTATTGCATAGGATAAAGCTGTTACAATAACGTTAATTTTGGTTAATAGTAAGCATCATTTTTTTTTACTTTAATGGTAATGTCACTAGAGTTTCAGCTTGTAATAAGATTGCTGTTATTTGAAGTATTCTGTATCTCATTATGGATAATTTTTTCTTTCTGGTTTACCAATAGATAGATAATGGGTATATAACTATTTTTAATTTTGCCAATTATCTTTTTTGTGTCTACACAAATTATCTTTTTTGTGTCATTTAAAAATTTTATAGCCTCATTTGTAAGATATATTTTCATCCCAACAATACTTCTAATACTGAACCAGTGTTGCTTTTCCTTGTTTAATAATGTTATTCTTTTAATATAAACAAACTAACCTTGGGTTTTAACTATTAATTCTATTTATTTTATGAATTTGCTAACTCCATTTCGATATGTAATAAAGCTAAAATTATACTTTATTGAGATGTTTATGATACTGGGTGAGGGTTTTTCGGGTAAATTTGTGACTTAGTACATGAGTAATTACTGAGGGAAAAAAATCACTAAAGACATCGTAAGTGACCTAGAGTAAAGTTACATTCTTTAAATGATGACAGAGGAGGTTGTGAAATTATTTTATTTTCCTCATCGCAAAGTCCACTCGGGAGTTTTCTTCTAAGTTCATCTGCAAGATGCCCGTAGGCCACATGTGACAATAGATTAATTTAGAAGGATACAGGACAGGAGATAAAGCTCATCAGCAGGACAATATTGGTCATTTTTCTTCAATGTGAGTTGTAGTTGCCGCTTTCATTTAGAATGGGGATGATACCTATATTGAATGAGTGCAGAAACCCATCTGGCTTAGAACCCTAGTACAGCAAGGCATCAGTAACACTTGTAATAACTCCAAAGGCATAGCTTTCAGGGTCCCCAAAAGGGACAGTCCCACTCACCAGAATCACTGAACTGGTAGAAGCTCAAAGACATGCCTTCTTTTTATGCATTTTTTGTTCTCTCAATCCAAATGACATTTTCTACTCAGGGGCCATTTCACTACAAGTAACGTGGCCTAAAACCATAGTAAACATTCCACCTTTCCCATGTTTTCAGGATAGAGCTATAAATTAACCAAAGTACAAATTCTCATTCAGAATAAAAGTTTACTTAGAAATATACTCAGCCCTCCATATCCGCAGGTTCTGCATGTGCAGATTCAACCAGCTATCAACTGAAAATGTTTTTAAAACACAACAGAAAATAATAATACAACAAAAATACAAATTAAAAACAATACAGTACAACAACTGTTTATATCACCTGTATATTGTATTAGGTATCATAAGTAATCCAGACGTGATTTAAGTATATTGGAGGATGTGTAGAGATTGTAAGCAAATACTATGCCATTTTATATAAGGACTTGAGCAGCCCTGGATTTTGGTATCCACAGGGGTTCTGAGATCAATACCCCCACAGATACTGAAGGATGATAATGTGTTCTATTATTTGTAGCACAATTAAATACATATCACTGTAATTTTTTCGTCCTGTCTATGTAAATTAAAATTCCATCTTTAAACCCTATTTCTTCTTTTGTTCTTCATATTTTTACAGGTAAAATATGGAAACTATGCTTTTGTATGGGATGCAGCCGTATTGGAATATGTGGCTATCAATGACCCAGATTGTTCCTTTTACACCGTTGGAAATACTGTTGCTGATCGGGGATATGGAATTGCATTACAGCATGGCAGTCCTTACCGAGATGTTTTTTCACAAAGGTAAGATTTGTGTAAGACCAAATAAGGGGAGAGAGGAAATTTAACAAAGAATATCAATTTGGTTACCCAATCTGGTTTATTTATTTATTTATTTATTTATTTATTTTGAGACGGAGTTTCGCTCTTGTTGCCCAGGCTGGAGTGCAATGGCACGATCTCGGCTCACCGCAACCTCCGCCTCCTGGGCTCAGGCAATTCTCCTGCCTCAGCCTCCTGAGTAGCTGGGATTACAGGCACACGCCACCATGCCCAGCTAATTTTTTTTAGTATTTTTAGTAGAGACGGGGTTTCACCATGTTGACCAGGATGGTCTCGATCTCTTGACCTCGTGATCCACCCGCCTCGGCCTCCCAAAGTGCTGGGATTACAGGCTTGAGCCACCGCGCCCGGCCACGTCCCAATCTGGTTTATTACATTTTGTTTCCTTTGTTAGGAAAAGCACAATAAACAACAACAACAAAAAGGTAGTTGTAAGTGGTTGTTCAATGAGACCCTCATTACCTAAACCATGAAGTATTATTTTTCCCGTAAGTAGGGGGAAAAATAATGCTACATAGACTGATTTTACTCTCAAAAATTTGATATGGAAAAGAAAGCAGATGTGTTAGTAATTTCTATAAGAATTAAACTAGCAGTCTAGTCTGAACTTTTAGTAACAAATGTCATAGAGTTGAAAAAACAAATTCATTCTAAGAATACAAAAGCGTGACATAAACTTCAGGACCAAGATAAGTTCTGATGGACTGAAGCACATAATGATAGGGATGCTTCCACATGAATTTTGCAAAGTAAATGGTTAAGATTTTGGAGTTCCCCATTTAGCATCAATGTATACATGAGATTTTGTCATGGAAATCAAGGCGACAGCTTATTAAGACATGATATCCATTTTCAAATAAGAATATACTATCATAAAGGGATGGTTTACAATGGAAGATTTTTAAATGTATGTTTTAGAGTAATAAAGCATATGAAATACGTGGGCCTGAAAAGAATGCACAAACATTACTGCATTTCCTTCTATCTTCTACCAAACAAGCTTGGATCTAAAACAGATTAGTATCTTCCACATAGAAGTATATTACATTTTATATTGAAAGTACATTTTGTTCATTTTCTAGATTTTCTTCTACCCATTTTCTAGAAGTTAATGACAGTTCAAGAGGGCAGTTTCAGAGAGTTTGAAGGCTCTAAGTTTCAAACTAGTTGAGTTATATTTCTCTGAATTTTAGGATAACAAAAAAGCCAAAGGCATTTTGTATGTATGTTCTTTTTAAAGACCCAAAAATCAGTTGTTCACAATTTATGTCCTAACTCCTCCATTAGCTAACTATAAAAATCTAAATCTCTCTCATGACACGCAAAATGAAGTCAGATTAATTCTAAGGTCCTGTATGAGTCAGCTTTTTGGTGTAGCAAACAAGTCCAAAGTATTAGTGATTTAGAAGAGTTACTTCTCATTCATGAAACAAGGCTATAATTTGGCTGTGTTCTGCTGCAAGCTGTGGGTCAGCTGCAGTCCTGCTCTGTGCAAGCTTCTCATTTCAAGGCCCAGGCTGAAGAAGCAGCCCTATCCGGGACGTGCTGTTCTCATTCCAAAGAGCAGTTGCAAAAGAGGCTGGCAGAAACCTGCAGTGGTTCCTGTGCGTCTTTGCTTGGATGTGGCATATGTTCCATCTGCCCACAGACCACAAACCAAAGCAAATCTTACGGCCAAGACCAAAATCAATGGAGTGGGTCAATGTGCTCCACATCAGGAGAAGGAGCGAGTAAAGAATTATAAACAGGCTGGATGCAGTGGCTCATACCTATAATCCAGGCACTTTGGGAGGTCGAGGCAGGTGGATCACTTAAGACCAAGAGTTTGAGACCAGCCTGGCCACCACGGCAAAACCCCAACTCTACTAAAAATACAAAAATCATCCAGGTATGGTGGTGCATGCCTATAATCCCAGCTACCTGGGAAGTCGAGGCATGAGAATCACTTGAGCCCGGGAGGTGGAGGTTGTAGTGAGCGGAAAGTGAAATACACATGCTTTAACTGGGAAGCAAAATACTAAGCAATCAAAATACATTTATTTATGAGCAAATGCTAAGAGGAACAAACTGCAAAAATCAATTATACCATAGGGAATCTATCTGTAAAGCACTTGGCATCTAGTTGGAGATACAAGACCCATGCATGAGAAACAAAGGACAATGCAGACATTTCTATAAACGTGTGCTGGCATGTATGTATATAATATCAGTATTGTTTATTTATATCATTTTAAATTGTGTAGTCAAGGTATTGAAATAATTGAACAGCATACAGAATAGTTAAACAAAGGAAAATGAGTGAAAGCTCACCACAGAAGGTTAGCCTGGAACTTGACGTTGATGAATTCGTAATGAATAGTTAGGCTGGAAGGAAAAAAATAGATAATTCTGGAATAAATAATAAATGCTACGGAATAGAAGTAAAAGAGAGCAGCATGTATTGAAAAATAATGAGGATATTAAGATAATATGAAATAAAATCTGAAGTTTGTAATTTATACTTTAGGCCACAGTAGCTTACAAAAGCCGATTGTCCATCCTGGAGCCCAGAAGTGAAATGATGAAGGTGACATTAAGGGAAGGCTAATCTAGTTTTAATGTGAAGGATGGAATCTAATTGCCAAAGACCAGATCAAACCTGCAGGCATGAGATAATGAAGGCCTGGTCTAGAATTGGGCAAGGGGAATAAGAAGGAACAAACAGAAGAGACCCTTCTAAGGGAAGAAATACACCACTGCTTTTAATTTAGTTGTGTGGACTGAAAAGCATAACAGGATCAAAGGGGATTCAGGGTTTCGTGGTGAAAGACCGGCAGAAACATTTAATGAATCCTTAACATTACTCAGATAGTTGCAAAAAGGATTATTGATTATTTATTAGTTATGGTTAATTGGCTTTTTCATTACTAAAGATGTTCTTGGTTTTCAGACTTGATTTTCTGGATATTTTAAAAATTGTACTTTAAGCTCTGGGGTACATGTGTACATCCCGCAGGGTCGTTGCATAAGGACATACATGTCACGGTGGGTTGCAGTCTACGTCCCTGCATTGCCTACATCAGGCATTTCTCCCAGTGGTTTCCCTCCTCAGCCTCCCCACCCCCTTGCTGTCCCTTCCCTAGCCGCCTACCCCCCACCCTACCCGAGTGTGTGACATTCCCCTCCCTGTGCCCATGTTTTCTCGCTGTTCAACACCTGCCTGTGAGTGAGAACATGAGGTGTTTGGTTTTCTGTTCTTGTGTCAGTTTGCTGGGAATGATGGTTTCCAGATTCATCCATGTCCCTACAAAGGACACGAACTCATCATTTTTTATGGCTGCAGAGTATTCCATGGTGCATATGTGCCTGTAAAAAATAATGCATGAGCATAATAGTAATTTAAAGATTTTTTAATAAATCACACCAACTGTTCCATTTCTTATTAGTCCTGTGGTGCTTTACCTAACAAAGATTTTAATTCTCAGAAAATGTACTCTAGTGAAGTGAACTGCTAAAAAGTAATTTTAAGCATTGAGCATTATTTTTCCTTTGTTTGCTATGCAGTATAGATGTTGGAAGTTTAAATTGTTCCTTTCTGTGGAGTTTCTTGGTAATGACCCCCTGCATCCTGATTCCCTGGACGTATGGATAAAGGGCGAGCCAGGAAAGAAGCAGGATCTGGCGTCAGTGTGCCAGTTCATCTCTTTATACACATGTGCCACATTAAGTTATCACCCAAAACCTCTTACTAAATTCACAAAATATTTGCATGTGTTCCATTTTTTATACCTGTAAGAAAAAGGAGATCTTCCCTTTTCATTAACTGATTTTAAAAATTATAAAGATCATCAAATTTAACCAGTTTAGTACATTCTGGTCAATATGTTTGATATATCAGCATCCAGGCACATTGATTAAACTAAATCACTTATTACTATTGTGATTATTTTCAATGAAAATGACAGTATACTGGGTGATTTTTTTTTTTTTTTTTTTTTTTGAGACGGAGTTTCGCTCTTGTTACCCAGGCTGGAGTGCAATGGCGCGATCTCGGCTCACCGAAACCTCCGCCTCCTGGGTTCAGGCAATTCTCCTGCCTCAGCCTCCTGAGTAGCTGGGATTACAGGCACGCGCCACCATGCCCAGCTAATTTTTTGTATTTTTAGTAGAGACGGGGTTTCACCATGTTGACCATGGTTGGTCTCGATCTCTCGACCTTGTGATCCACCCGCCTCGGCCTCCCAAAGTGCTGGGATTACAGGCTTGAGCCACTGCGCCCGGCCTGGGTGATTTTTTAATAATTCAATATTACTTTTCAGGTGACTACATTTCTGTAACACAACTTCTAAAATATGATACTTTAATATGTAATAAATGTTAGTATGTAGAATAAAAACTATATAGTGATACAGTAACTACATTTATTATCTGCTACCTGCCAAATGTCTCAGATGTTTACATATTTCATTGGCACTTTGGAACAATCACATGAGGTATTGCACATTTGCTCATTATAGCATTGCTTATTAGTGCATGACTGCTATGCCACAAGTATATACACTGAGTGGAGGGGTCTGCACCTGGACAAGCACTGGATTCAGTTTAGGGGACGAGGGGTGTAGTGATACACTCACTTGTACAACTGTATGTGAACAAACACACATAGGAATGACTTCAAGGAACCAGTAAATGCTATAATTTATCTAACTGTAGAAATTGCTAGAAGAGTTTTGCTTCCTTTTGTGTCCTTTCTGCCCAAAAACTAGATAAATTGGCCGCAGAAGTTAAAGTCAGTCTTCTTTATTCTTTGTCATCAGATGTGTGTGTTTGTGTGGTGAATAAGGCTTGCAATGAATTCTCTACCTGACACTATTTGTCATCAGATATTTTATGTGGTCTTTGTAACTTCTTCATTTAAAAAAATTTAGTCATATGTTGTCTCATTAAAGGCATTTAAGAATGAAGAAAACGGAATTTTTCCG